TGGATTCAAAAATGGTTCAAGCAGCATATACCTCTTTTTGGTTGTCTCGTCGAGACACAGGTCAAACAGCCTAAGCAAGGAAAGCTCATCAACGCTTTGCATCCTGGCTGGAATTTTGAAGATAATTATGGCTTTTCGGATCTAGGGAAGATATGGGTGTTCTGGCACCCCAATGTACGAGTCTTCATCATCAGTAAATCCCTGCAGATGGTTACCTGCCTCGTGCATCTTCTCGACTACTCTGACCCGGTGGTCGTCTCAAGTGTTTATGCGTCTAACGATGAAGCAATAAGACAGATTTTATGGACAGAAATAGTGGATACTTCAGCTCATCAGAGTGAGCTCGGAAATGCTTGGACGATAATAGGGGATTTCAACCAGATGCTTGGCCCCACCGAGCACTCAAACGCTTTGAGTCTAAACTTGGATAGACAAACTCGTGATTTTAAAAGGTGTATCCTTGATGCAGACTTGGTGGACCTAAGCTTCAAAGGCTGCTCGTTTACCTGGTGGAATAAATAAAAGTCCAACCCAGTCGCTAAGAAGCTTAATAGAATCCTGGTAAATGATGCATGGAAGCTAATGTTCCCCAACTCTTTGGCAATTTTCGGGGCCCCAGAGTTTTCAGACCACTCCTCTGCCAGGTTAATTCTCAATCAAAATCTAGCAAAGCAGAGATCTCCTTTCAGATTTTATAACTTCTTGCTTCAGAATTGCAACTTTCTGGAGATGATCTCTTGGCATTGGTACTCTACTAACGTCACAGGATCTGACATGCTGTGCGTCTCTCTAAAGCTTAAGGCCCTAAAAAATCCCATCAGATCTCTTGCCAAGAATAACTACTCTGATCTAGAGAAGCGAATTGCTGAAGCAAGAGAGAAGCTAATTGATCTGCAATGCGAAATGCTTAACTCACCCTCAGTTTCTCTTGCTGTAAAGGAGCAAGAGGCACATACAAAGTGGATGACATTGGTTAAAGTTGAGGAAGCTTTCCTATACCAACGATCTAGGATTACGTGGTTGCGGGAAGGGGACTGCAACTCGTGATATTTCCACCTACTGATGTCCTCTCGCATAGCCACAAATCATATTCACTTGATCATCTCAGGAAATGGGGATCGATTTGAGTCACAAGCTGACATCCAAGCTCAGTGCACGCATTACTTCTCCACGCTTTTGGGGGGTGCCACAACCCCTCCAGAGTTTGAGCAAACAGATATCACCAGCCTGTTGGACTTTGAGTACCCCCCTGAGTTGGGAGCAGGTCTTCAAGCGGAGTTCTTTTCCAAGGAAATCAAAGCCGCTTTCTTCTCCCTACCCAAAAATAAAACTTGTGGCCCGGATGGATTCTCTGCAGAGTTCTTCATCGGCTGTTGGAGTGTGGTTGGGCCTGAAGTAACTGCAGCAGTATCTGAGTTCTTCAGATCAGGGAAGCTCCTTAAGCAGTGGAACACAACTTCTCTTGTGCTTATTCCTAAGACCACCAACACCACAAATTTCTCTGATTTCAGACCAATCTCGTGCCTCAACACGGTTTATAAGGTGATCTCTAAGCTTTTGGCAGGTCGTCTTAAAGGCCTCCTCGACTCAGTGATCTCGCACTCGCAATCCGCCTTCATGCCAGGACGTCTTCTCGCTGAAAATGTTCTCCTAGCAACTGAGTTAGTTCAAGGGTACAACACCAAAAATCTCTCTCCGAGAGCTATGCTGAAAGTGGATCTCCGCAAGGCGTTTGATTCAGTAAGATAGGATTTCGTTTTAGCAGCACTTAAAGGATTGAACATCCCAGAGAAATTCATAAACTGGATCTCTGAGTGCATCTCTACACCATCTTTCTCTGTTTGCATTAATGGTCAGTCTTCCGGGCACTTCAAGAGCACAAAGGGCCTTAGACAGGGAGATCCAATGTCTCCCTACTTGTTTGTTCTGACAATGGAAGTCTTATCTCGGTTACTGACCTCGAGGTTCACTTTGGGGTATATCAGGTTTCATCCGTCTACGGCTGAGGTAAACATATCTCACTTGATGTTTGCAGATGATGTCATAATCTTCTTTGACGATAGTACCTCCTCCCTTCATGGAATAAGCGAGACTTTGGATGATTTTGCCACCTGTTCTGGTCTCTCCATGAACCACGACAAAACTCAGCTATTCTTTGCAGGCCTAAGCCAGAGAGAAGCAACTGCTATCTCGGGCTACGGCTTCCCAGTGGGCTCTCTCCCAATTCGCTACTTGGGTTTACTCTTGATGAACCGCAAGCTGAGGCTAGCAGAGTACGCTCCTCTTATTGATAAGATTTCCGAGAGATTTTGATCATGGTCAGTACGTTTACTCTCCTTTGCCGGAATATTACAGTTAATATCATCGGTTATCTCAGGCATGGTCGTTTTCTGGATTACCACTTTCATCCTCTTGCGCGGCTGTATTAGAAAGATTGAATCTATGTGCTCATGTTTCCTCTGGGCGGGGAATATTGAGGGTACTCACTCGGCCAAAGTCTCCTGGTCAAAAGTGTACCTCCCGAAGAAAGAGGGTGGCCTAAGGCTCATGCGCTTCTCGGTATGGAACACTACCTTATGCCTTCGGCTTATATGGCTGCTCTTCTCAGAAAGTGGATCCCTCTGGGTAGCATGGCATCCGCACCATCATCTGCGAAACAAAAGCTTATGGGCTCTCATGCAACAAACCAATGACTCATGACATTGGAAATCTCTACTACAGTTGCGTACTCTGACTGAAAGGTTTATCAAGTGCTCCATTGGTAGTGGTCAAACTGCAAGGTTCTGGTATGACACTTGGACGCCTTTAGGACCGCTTATAAAGTTCATCGGCAATGACGGTCCAAGGAGTCTACGTATCCACTTGAACGCACTCGTGGGGGAGGCCTCGGTAGGAAATGCTTGGAACCTAGCAAACCCGAGATCAGAAGAGACCTTGCAGCTCCAAGTTTATCTTACAACAGTTTTGCCGCCGGCAGCAACTTCTATCGAGAAGGATGTTTTTTTTTGGGTCGTTGACGGTGTGAAGTGTAAAGGGTTCTCATCGGCAAGGACATGGTCTGAGCTAAGATCGAGAGAAGATGTAAAGCCCTGGTCAAAAGTGATTTGGTTCAAAGGATCACCACCGAGGCACGCTTTCACAATGTGGACTGCCCAACTTGAGAGACTCCTTACGAGAGTTCGCCTTGCATCATGGGGAATGCAAAACCCTTCAACATGCTGCATTTGTGGATCCGCTGATGAAACCAGTGACCACTTGTTCCTGCAATGTGAGTTTAGTATGAACCTTTGGAAAGAAGCTCTTGCAAGGCTAGGGGATACGACGACTCTACTTCAATCGTGGCCAGTTTTGATAGACTGGACTCTGATCAACAATGACGCCCTGCCATCTCTCCTCAGGAAGATCGTCGCTCAAGCACTAATATACGCCATTTGGAGGGAGAGGAACAATTGGCTGTTCAATCATCAAGCAACCCCCTACACGCAGATTTTCTACGCCAGAAGACACTGCAAGTTTTTTGGTAATCTCATGCCTTTTTGGCTTTATTAGTCTATTGGTATCAATCGACTGAGGACTCTGCTCTTCTGCTACCATGTTTTTTTTTTTCTTTTTGCCATGGCACCAGACTTGTGACATAAGTTTTCAAAACTTTGTATTATCACATTTTCTTCATTAATATGATATTTATAGTTAAGCAAAAAAAATTAAAAAAAAAACTAAATAAAAAGGAAAAAGCCAAAAAAAATAAAACTTGTAAAAAAATATTTTTTCTTTGTCATTCCGAAAAAATTATATCAGAGTCGCAATATAGTTTTGCTTATTAACTTCGGAGAAGCTTATGTGCAATGTATATGGCTTGAGCTTTCCAAGAAGCCATATTCCTACAAAAATTGGGCTATTCCGACAAGACTTAGGCCAATAAATGAAAAATCACATTATAAAAGAAAATAATTAATAAAAAGATACATACAAACAATTGGGAAATTTTTTGATTAAGTAAATAAAGAAAATTAAAGGATATTTGTGATAAATAAAATAATTAAATTAGTTACCATTAGACAGAAATATATATTCACATTGTCGATACACTGTGGATACGACATAGATTCATCAAATTTTTCACCATTTGTGACAAATGAAATTTGATAATTTTATTCGAAAACACGCTTTAAATCTTAGAAAAAAAAAGAGTTTTCTGCTAAAAAAACCCTTAGACTAAACTATTTTTTGCAAGAAAAACCTTCACCCCAAATAAATGCAAGTAAAACCCCTCACCTATAAGGTCACCCGCAATAGAGTCCCTCCAAAGGTATGATTCTCCTACATGCGCTTCCACGGGTTCTTCCATGGCCTCTTCCACGGGCTTTTCCTCAGCCTCTTCCACGGGCTCTTCCATGGGTCATTCTCCATTTCAAAAATGTTCCATCAAGATGTATGATTCTCCTATATAATGTCTTTAATCCACTCGACAGTGCAGCAAAACAAACATAGAATCTATAAATCGTGTTTCCCTCACCTGAAGTTCCACTTTTGATCCTCCATTACACATCTTTAACTCATGAACATAGTCAAAAAGTCTTGCAAACTGCTCTGCCTATTCTGTATCGAATGTCTTCAAGCATCTAAGCCTTGTCCTCTCACATATTGTCCATGGAACATTAATGTTCGTAGACAATAGTTTCTCTTGCAACTGATTGGATGAAAAATCCAGGTTCAATCTAAACTCTTCAATGTAGATATCTGATATTCTAGCATTCGTTAGAAGAGACACATTTCCTTTCCAAGTGCAATTGTGCTCCCCTTGCAATGATCTTATGACAACCCAAGTTGAAGAACTGTTGATTGAAGCATACAGTCTCCAAGGACAATTCCTATCTGAACAGATTGCTGAGACATGTCTTCTATCTGATTTCTTATATCTAAGATCCCTTCTCTTCTTCACTGCGTATTTGTTCACCGCACGCTTGAAACTATCAATTGTCTTGTACTCTTGACCTATCTCAAATTTTCTTATATTTGCAATCATCTATCTTATGCATTTGATTGTCATCACTATCACAATCAGTATCAGTATCATTTGCACTTTCATAAACATCACCTAAATAATCAGCATTCTCTCTAATTTCTGCCTCATCATCTCTATCATCATTTTCAGCCAAACCACCTTCTTCTTCAGTCAAACCATCTTCTTCTTCATCAGATAACCAGCAACTTGTAAGACCTGCTCTCCGACCTATGTAAGGATCATCTTCTCGGACAGCAAATAATGTTATCGCACCTGACCCTACTCCGTAATGTAACACTTTCTCCATTATCTCAGCATCATCAATATCCTCTTTCTAGGCAGGGATCTCTGGTGGAAACCAAGATATCTTGCTGATCTTCTCTTCGTAGCCAGTATACTGGACTATGAGCATCCGAACCTTTGGCAAACTAAATCCTTCAGCCAAGTGTTTTCCAGATGGATGTGCCTCTCTACCAAGATATGCATCGTCGGGTGACCAATACCCACCAGCATAAATGTAGAGATCGAAACTGCTGCAGTGCAAACCAATTCAGAGTCAATGTTGAGAAGAAGACAATAAAATCTATTGGAAACAAAAATACAATAGAGAAATCGAACTTCAATCTTAGGGATTAGAAATTACCTCATCTTCAAAATACAATAGAGAAATCAAAGTTCTTCTCCTTCTTAGTTTGATATCCAAAACCCATACAATCTACACAAACGATCTCTTTAATCGAACCCAATACAAATAGCGTTACACTCTCAACACTCCTTAGACGCTCTCAGATTGATTTCCCCTTCCCAGTTCTATGAAGACAAATCGCAACAAACCCTAAACAATTCCTTTTTCCCAATTCTCCAACATAGTTCCATTTTTCGATTACGAAAACTACACCAACTAATGCAAACTTCATGCCGTTTAACCCATTTGATATGGGGCGTTTTAGATTCCGTGAATGGTTTCACATACGTTCAACCAATCCACGTCGACGATATAGAGAGGGGCTGTATTGCGGGTGACCTTATAGGTGAGGGGGTTGACTTGCATTTATTTGGGATGGGTCTTTTCTTGCAAAAATAATTTAGTCTGAGGGTTTTTTTAGCAGAAAATCTAAAAAATAATCTACTCCACATAAAGAAATACAAACATATAATCATATTATTTAACAAAAAAAAAAAAAAAAAGTTAGAGGATACTTCCACGTTAGAATTCTCACTCCCTCAGAAGTATGTTTTCGAGAAACCTATAAAAGATAAGATTTCTCTTTAATTATAATAAAATATTTTTGCTCAGTAGCCTGCATAACTCGCCTAGTTTGGCTCAATTTTTTTTTTCTTATGTGAAACAGTCAAACCACCAAAGAAAAGACTAGTCGAGATCGACATGGTGAATAAGATAGGTGTTTATGTAAAGGAGCTCAGAAAGCATAATCATAGGGGGCCTCATGATCGTTTCAGCATATCTACTATTTACTGCACCTGCGAGTCCATCTCCACTTTCATTTTACACGAGTTTAAGGGATGCTGAAATCCTGGTTTTTACAGATTTACCTAAAGGTGTGGTTGCAAAAGAGCCGCTGCGTTGAACTAAAGACTTAGAAACATTTTATTAGTCTTTTGTAGAGCTGAAATATCATTTGTACCCTAATCATATTATTTCTTCTCTTAAAATAAGCAAATTCTCATAATCCTTCTCTTTTATTTTCTTCTTTTTTTTCTTCTCTTCTGTTATCACCTTTATTTGATATTAAGATATAATATTTTGTATATATATATATATATATATTGATTTCTCCCATAAGATTATTTATCTCGGATTCAATAGCTTGGATTTTATTACAATAGCTTGGGTAAATCAGTATAAACGTAGAATATATTCATCACTGAGTAATAAAGGACATCAAAGGAAATTCGTGATAAACAATTTAATTAAATTGGATACCGCTAGACAAAAAACGTACATTCACATTGTGGATACGATATGTATTCATCAAATCGTTCATTATTTGTGACAAATAAAATTTGACAATTTTTTTCCAAAAGACGATTTAATTTTTAAAAAATATAATTCATTTCATATAAACAAATAAAAACTTATAATCATTTTATTTAGCAAAATAAGAAAAGTTAAGCGGATAAAAATTTCACTCCTTGAAAGTAAAAAATATGTTTAGTTTTGTTTTACTATATCTCAAATTATATCAAATTTCTTTGCAGCCAAAACAGTGGGGCTGTATTCAAAATGTAATAGTGGGGCTGTATTCAAAATGTAATTTGAGAGAATTTGAAAAGATTTGAGTTTTTATAAGTTTTTATATGATTTTATGTTGATATGATGTGATATTAAAATTATATGAAATATCACTTAGATCAGTGGGATTTGGTTTGTTATATTTTTAACTAACAAACTCCACCAAATCATTTTAAAATATTCATTTTTTTCTAAAATTCACTAGTTAGTATTTTTAGTAACAGTGGAGTTGAATAACATTGAAGTTTAATAAGTGATTTTAATTGGTTTTATAGAAATTTCATGTTCAATAATATAAATTTTGATAAAATATTTAGAAATCATTAATTAAATAACATAAAATTTTAAAATAATCATGAAATCTTAAAAAAATCAGTTTAGATACACCCCAATATGTTTATTTTGCATTTGCATTCAAAACATTATTAGGTTGACTCGCCCTTTCAAAGAAAAATTCAGATCTCTTTTGATGACATTTAATAATAAAATAATATGGTTTGTTCTTGAAACAAAGAAAAGAAAATTGGCATTACACTACTCTGATAAAACAGATGTCAGCCAAACATAACGACATAATCAAACAAACACTAAAGACCCTAAATCTTCCAATTAAAGCCCTAAACTCTCTGCATTAGATATAATTTTGTTTTTCAAAGAAGACAAACACTAAACCCTAGGTTTTAAAGAACATTAAGTCTTACAGAGAGTTACTCAATTCTACGGAACCTCACAGATTTAGTTTTGTTTTTTTTCATTCTTTCGTAGACCAAACTCATTTGGTCTGTAGAAAGCTGCAAAGTCTCTATGCTCGAGATCTAAAGGAACGGATCCTTCCGGTTTCAAACTGGTCTTCTTCATCTTTCCTCCTCATCTCTATGATCCTCCTGTGCGAGTTCGAATGCACCGTTGGGATGAAGGTCGGGCTCGAGGCTGGACGGTACTCTGGAACAAGACGGCCTGACCTGAACCGGACTCCACAAGCATTACAAAGCGTCTTAGGTCCACTGGGCCCTTCCCTCCACTGTGGTGTCTTGGTTGTCTCGCAATGAGTGCATTTCCTCAGCGTCCCATCATCGTTATACGGCTCTGGACTGGAAGAGTCCGAGTTCGCCGCACCGTTCTTGTTCCTCCTGCGCTTCTTCTTGGCCGGATTCTCAGAGTCTGGTCCATCATCACGAGCAGCAAACTTCTGAGCCATTGCTGAAGCGAATGACTTGAGGAATCCGAATCTCAGCTCTGTGGGGCGTTTGCGCTTGCCTCTGATGCCCTTCACGAGAAAGGCCAGCCTGTGAGCTCTGTTTGGGTTCTGGAACGAGACAGAACCATTGGCGCTCTCGAGAACTGAGACTGGGCTTGAAGACTGGAACAGCTTTGAGACTTTGACATCAGGAAGGGAGCTTTCCACGGTAGAAGAGACTTCTGAAGAACTCGACTGTTTCTGCACACATGAAGTCAAATCCAATGAATATAAACTCAAAAACATACTCAAAACACCTTAGTAGAGCCATGAAGAAGTAATAAAGTATACAAACAAAACAAGCACAAGCATGATTCCACAATACAAATTTCCATATCAGATCGACAATGACACTAATACTTAATCATATGATTACTTATAGATTCATCAAAACGGTTTCACCTTTATTCCTCTCTCAAGAACAGATAAAGACACTAAACTAAGCAAAGTAAGATAGGGCTTTATTGAAGAAAACCCCATATTTCCCCCTGCCACAAAGGCCTCAAACCATTACACAAACTCTCTTAACACATCCTATATATATTCATATACACACAAGCTGCCTATTCCTATCAATGGGCATTTGGTAAGACAACAGGCGAAACTGAAAGACCTAAGACACATACATTCAGAGATTTAACATATACAACATAACATGATTTTTATTTTTGCATGCACATTCCTAACCTTTAATGGTAAAAGACTACCGGATTGAATCCTATGAATCTCTTACATTACCTAATTAATTCCTCCTACAAATGCTCGTTTAGTTGTGAAAATGTTGCATAAAGAGTATAAAATATGCATAGATGGTGGGTAATAATGCCTAAATGCAGCATAATCTTTAATCTCAAATGTATTTAGGACTATGCAAAGATAACCTCCATAAAAACACTATGCATAAATGATGTACAGTATATGAGGGCCTTTCTATACACACTTTTCTAACACAATGCAGTAAAAAGCTATGGAAGCTTTAATCCTAAAGAATGAATATGAACAATATACCAGATTACTTCCTCATGCAAATGTATATTGTAATCGTGTGAGTTTTGGATTAAGAAACGTAAACAAATGAAGTTTGAATCCAATGATGATGCACTTTCTTAATGCAGATAAAATTAATTCATTTTAAAGAACCATTATGCTACACTTATACAATACTCTTATTGTCCTTAATCAAACATGTGCTGTGATGGTGTAATAAGCTTTTCAAGTAATATGCATGAGTGATCATATAAGCCTACATGTTTTTACCCAGTGAAAAGCTACCAAAGCTTGAATGCAAAAGACCTTATTTTCATAAATCAAATGTGTTCTGTTGATTGTGGCATAATCTAATACAAACTATATGCTTAAGTTTCGTTATAAACAAAGTTCTTTAGCACACACATTTTTAACCTACATGCAATGAAAATGCTATCAAGGATTGATTGAAACCATAAAGAATCATTATCTCATAGTTATACATCTACACCCTAATAATCCCCAAATGCCTGTGAATGAGTAACTAATCCATCAAGTAATATGCATAAACGATGTATGTATAAGCGTGATTAATAATTTACTCAAACATCATGTGTCTCAAAAAGGGCTAAATCAGAACATAATGCAAATGAGAACGATGGTGAGTGAATGAATAAAACTACCAACAGACAAGCATCAAGAAAGCTCACCAGAGCAGGCTTTGTATTAGGGCCTCTCACACGTTGTCCATTGCATTTGTTACCACCCGAGAACTCAGAGGACAAACTTGTGAGCACATCCAAAGAAGGAGGCACGAGGTTCTTGAAATCGGCATCCCAATCTCCTTCGCCATTAGCCGTTTCAATGTCCTCTAAGGGAAAATCAAGATGATTGATGAGATCATCAAAGAAGTTATCCCCTAAACCCTTGAAGTCGTCGTCCTCTTCACGTATCCAAGGATCGCCGTTATTCATTTGTCACCCACTGTTCCAAAAAACAAAACCCACAGACACAAAACAAAGAAACCAAACATCAGCCCTTGTAAGAGAGAGTATAGAAGCCAAGCCAAGAAACAAACATCAATTCCCAGAGAGTGAGCAAAGAATCTCAAAAAGGGTTTTTCAATTGAATATGAATGTGAAATGTTTGACATTAACCAATATAAGAAGAGATTACAATTTCAATGAACGAGAGAGGATACCAAATATGTGAAAGTATGAACAGAATTCAATTTTCCAGTCAAAATTCCTCACTCAATATGCTTAACTCAAAGCAGTCTCTTAGAATATAAATGACAATAGATTCATTGAGTCAAGAGGGGAATTATAAATTCTATTTCCTCTTACAGATTATAAAGGAGAATCAATCTTCTTTCAATATTTCAGTTTCATAATTGAATTGAGGAGAATCCAAGAATAAAAACACGAGACCAGTCTCCGTTTTCAGTTTTTTTAGGGCACAAAACCAAAGAAACAAGATAAGAATTGAGAATCCTTCTGACATTTGTCTTAATGTTCAAAAAAACAAAAACGAGAAAACTCCACCTGAAAGAAGAAGAATGCACGAGAAAACAAAGTGAGAGAGACAGAGACGCAACAGGACCTTACGTTACAGCTGACTAGACAGAAAGCATTCCCCAAGCGCGAGCGAGGGAGAGAGAGAGAGAGAGAGAGAGAGAGAGAGAGAGAGAGAGAGAGAGAGAGATGGAGGAGAGAGAGAGAATCTAAATTGTCTGAAATTGGGGATTTAGGGATTACAGAAGTGAAAAAGAGAGAAGGAGAGAGAGGGAGAGAGAGGGAGAGAGTTAATATACGGTAACGCACATGGAATTTTCAGTGTGTCCTTCTCTCTAAAACAATGCAAATCTTCTTTTCTGGAAATATGAATTTATATACATTTTCTCCTCTTGTTTTCTTTTTATAACTCAAGATTTCTTCACTCTAAAGGAAAATTTTGGAAATCATTTTAATTTTTTGAAAGGAAATACTTTGTTACCATATCATATAAAAAAGAAAGGAAATAACTTCTGTAATTGTTCCACCTTGCATGAAATTGGATATATATTAATAAGAGAAATTCAATTCAAACCCCTAATTTAAGCATATAATTCAAAGTACATGTATATGAAAAAATTATTATTTTTAATATAAATATGTCACTGTAATTTATACAGCTCATATTATTAAAACTTATTATTATAACTTATCTCATCGTTTAGATTTTGCACCAATAGTATTGGTTTAATATTATTACAAGCAAAATAAGTGGCTGAACCTCTGATATAAGTACAACTGTACAAGTAATCATAAGTATAAAAAAATCTAACAAACATAGATACAGAAAATTAGTTGGAATTTTTTTTTCATTTTTTTTTAGTTTCATGTTTACAAATAATTTAGTAATAATAATTAGTGGCCTAAACAATATCTAAAACTTTTATTGTTGGAAAACTAGGAAAAATATCTATTAAAATTGAATAAAAATTGGGATGAATCTTTTAAACTTAAAAAATTATATATAAATTTTGTTAAAAAAATTAAAGTTAAAGAGTTAAATTTAAGGATTAGGTTTATGATTCAAGTTCAAGGTTTAGCATCTTCTTCTTTTGCTAAGGTTTAGAGTTGTCGTGTTAGAACTTATATTTATTTTCTTATAGTTTAAGGTTTAGATTTTAATGAAATTAAAATCTAGACTATATTTTCATTATGATACAAAAATTTGGATAGATTTATGATAAAAATGTATTATCTCTAAAATTTGTGATAAATATATTTATTACTCATATATTATGCATTTCGATATTTTCTTACTTTTATTAGGATTAAATTTTTAAGGGTTTTTGGGTTTATGTTTTCTTATAAATAACATGTTTGTATTTATGTTTTATTTATTGTTATTTTTAAATTAGTATAAAGTCAGAAAATATTTTCTCTGTTTTACAGTTAATCTATAAAAAATTATTTAAACAAATATATTTTATTCAATATTAAACTGATCTTAATTTTTTTATTTACCTATCAATTAACATAATACCCGTAGTCAAACTTTGATTAAGAAACCAAATAACTTGACTTAAGAGCTTGACTAGTATTTTGTTTGTTGATTCTACAAACTTAAGTCAAGTTATTTAGTTTCTTAATCAAAGTTTGACTAGGGGTATTGTTAATTAGCTATCATAATAATATATTTCTTTAAAATAGTGTATTTAGAAAAATATATGGAAATATATATTATTTTTATCTAAGTTAATTATGTAAAGACGATGTTGTGGTAATCGATTATAGATTTTGTACTTAAGATTTTTTCTATTGTAGTGGAGATTATAATTTTTCTGATAATACAGTTTACTTGTTTTATAGTTTTATTCAATTTTTATTTTTGGGAAACAATTTTCACTATTATTTTTTTCGATAGATTGTAGAGATTTCAACAAATTTAAGAATTACTACAAGTTTCCTCTATGTTAGTAATATCTTTTCTGAAGTTAAAGACTTCTTAAAAACACTACAAAGAAAACAAAGTGTGCCAATTTTAGGATAATAATGCAAAACTAGTCTCATATTAAATATAGAATATGATTGTGTCGAGTAGTTAAGAGGAAAACAAAATATCAAGCACATGAACGGCCCACATGTCAAATCAGACGACATCCCTTGAGGAAGGATGGTTAGTAGATCCGATCTGATTCAATTATTTTCTTATTACTATCATTTATAAACTCTTAAAACCATAAAAACAAAAGCAAGAACTCTTAACTTGAATCTATTATATCATTCTTTTGTTAATAGGCTTAGAAACAAATTAAAGATGATACATTTTCAAAACAGAATGGATAGATCACCGACGATTACGACTTACGAGAGAGGAGTACCGAAACTAAATGATTATGGAGTTTCCTCATGGGAATGTGGGTCTCCTCTTGCCTAGCTTCCACATGCTGGGTTCTATTAAATTTCAGGATAGAGTTTCATTCTTTTTCCTACAACTATAACATAACCAAAATTTGCATAACTTCACAGACTCCTGTATTCATTCGTTTTGTTATTTAATTTCTGCAATCATACCCCATGTGAAATATTTCTGAAATCGTACGATTTTATTTACTAGTATTAGGGTCGTCATTTATTTATAATAGGCAGTCAACTCAAATCTATTATATGTTGTTCACCCAAAAAAATTCTTAAATGCGAGCTTATGAAGTTTAGCCATTCCTTGAGTAAGGTCACTGCGTGAAACTAAATAAACTTGGCCACTGCATAGAAGAGTGTAATGATTTGATTAGATCTACATAATCACTTATAAATGACAAGTTCTTGATCTCCATGTTGACAGTACTCTATCATGGTACGCATATGTTTGAAATTCATCGATGCTTTAGATCATTTCAGTGGATTTTTAAATGTTACTGCGTCCTCATCAAACATTATGTTTATAATGCAAATCAAACGCTTAATAATTTGAAGCATTTTCTAATGATTTTTCTTCGTCAACAAAAAATATGTTCCATCTGAAATGACTAATATTAACTCTACATATCAAACTATCCAACAATATCAGTCGATCATGAATTGAAAATATATCCAACACTTTATTTCACGTAAACTTGTGTTACTAAATTTTTAACAAACAACTCCTTCAGAATAATTAACACACTGCATTAAACTCTTTTCGTTTGAATTTTAGATACACTACATATCTAATTAGATATTCATTTATTCATCTATTAGTTCTCATGTTTTACAACAAAAACATATAAAAAAAAATTAAATTCTCTTATAACAGTAAATTTTCGCAAGCAACACATAATTTTTATACTATATTGCATTTAAATCAAAATATTATTCAGATGTAAGTAATAACCCAGACTTTGTCTTCCTTTTATTTTGAAGCTTACACATTGTTAGTCAGTTACCTACTTGAAATCGTCATCATGTGATTAAAAAATTTCATGTGTATTTTGTTTTCGAATTTGTTTTATCATGTTTTGGTTATTTTTCTAACGAATATTCGACACAAAGAACCGGTTACACCTTATGTGCCGAAAGGATCTAGTTCGAAGATTCTCCAAACGACAATGTTTCATTTGTCTCCACAACCTTTGTTATTGCTAACACTTAGCGGTCATGTATATCCCTTGTAAAATTTATCGTATTTTTTTTTTGGGGTTTTAGTGAAAAAATCCCACAGTTAAAGATGGATTGTAATAAAACATCTCAACTATTAATCTCTATAATATTATTTGAGAATATTATTTGAGAAGTACATTTTGAAACAATCGAAAAAATGATTTATTAACAATTTATGCCACTTAACTAATGAGTTAAATGTGTTTGGTAACATGTTTATCTGAGGACAAAACAGGCGAGTCAAGACGAGTCAACTGAGTTAACTCAGTTTTAAGGCATTACCTGAGATTCTTGAAAAAACCCGACCCATCCTCAACTAATAAAAGCACGCGGATCCTGAAATTCATTTAAATCAAACCGGATCTTGAACTAGATACTGTAATTTCATTGGTCTCGGTTTACAGCTTCTTCTATTAACCTGTTCTAGAAACGGAAAATTCAATATCAGTTGGAAATGATATCGCGGAGAATATGGAAATATGTTATTTACCGCCGCAAATCAGAAATCTTTGACGGAAATCTCGGACTAATTGCTTAAGCATAACAAACATATCAATATTTAACGAGCTAATCAAGAATCTTGCCTAATAAGATTATGCATACCATTAAAAATCTTAAAATAAAATCTTTAAATAAAATCCTTCACCGTCAATCTTTTTAAACCTACTGTATTCTTTCCGAAACACTATAAAACCATTAGCATAATAGAAGACATACCTCAAAGCAATTTATCTTAAAGCATCCTAGAGCTTTGCAAATCGAAAAAATTGGTGCACTTCTTCCCATTCTCTATCTAAGAGAGTTGAAGTCTTTCAAAATGGCTTGGAGCCTGCAAACATAGAAGAGGAAATGTAAGAGTTTATTCTCTATACACGCCATCACTGCTTATATAGTATTCTCTATTATTTACCGATCTGCCGTATTAATTTTTGCAACGTCTACACAGATTGACAGTGACTGATACTTTGTCACAGTTGATATTGAGAAAGGAATGAAAAACAGGCCGAAGAGGTTTAGAAATTGATGGAGTTAATTCTCTATGATTCAAAGGTTAGTTCTAGATTTCTATTACTAAATCGTGCCATTTGTGTTTTTCCTCATATATTTTATGTTTACTAATCATATTTCTAAAATTTTAATCCTTGATGTTTTCATTTTGTTTTGATTGTTCATTGTAGGTGAAATCATCATTGGTATTGAAACCAAAGTTTCTCCTTGAATTACAAAATCCAAGTATGAACAAACTTTCTACTTTATCTTTCTACGATTTCTATACTACTTACAAATTTGTGTAGGGTAATTCATATTATTTCAGTATCTCAGATCTATAATGTTTAGAATTCTATAATCTATTTTTCTGCTCCTTATTTCTGTTAAACAAATCTTCCAACTTCCCAACTCGAAATCTCTACTGTTATTGCTTCTAATGTATTTGAATTTTCAAGATGAAGGATGAAGTAGCTATGAGGTCCCGCCCGGTAGTGTTTGTTGTTAGATATGAAGGGTATCAACTAACTGAAGATGATTCGAAGAGCTTTTTCAACAAACACGTAACATTTTAAGATTTATTGATTCTTCAACATGGTAAACACAATGATGAGATTTTTTAGATGTCTTATAGGTGATTCAGTGCATATGAAGCCATACCGTCTACCTTAAACAGACACAAGATAGTTTGAAATCATAGTGCAAGCAGACATTGACTTCTTTAAGAAGTCATTAAGAAGCAATTATTTGGTATCTGATTTGATTTAGAGATTCTCTACACTTTATAAAGTTTTAGTTTCTCATGTGACCGTATTTTCGTTTTTCTATATATTATTGGAGATCGAAAAGTGTTTATGGAGACTTTTAGTTGTTTAGAAGTGGGGAGTGGGAGAGATTTGCTATCAAAATCCAACGGTCTTTGTAATTTCAGAACAGTTATGTATTAAAAGCTGATTTCGATTCTTTTATTTGTATCCAAACCCTAAAGCTAAACTATTCCTAACAACATCCTAAGAAGAATTACAAGTATTTTAGTCTAGAGAATGAAAGAGCAGAAGCATACCAGTGATAATGATTTCCAGTACCACACTTTGAGATGACTCTGCAAAATTTAGTATGCAAGCATGAGCAGCCATTCAATAAAAGCAAAAAGGTTCAAGGAAAAATAAAACAAAGAACCCTGTAAAATTCTATACAACTTCGATTCATAAAGTAGGTGAGGATGTTTTGTCTTCACGTTTTCCTGTAAGAAGAAATATATTTTTCAATCTATAACTAATCAAAAGGCTATTTCTAGCAACAAAAAGTCGACCTTTGTTTCACTGAAGCACTCAAAACACTTTGTTTTATTTTCATAACTAAATGAGATTGCCATTGTTCTTTACATGAGCATATTATTGTACAGATCCATCTTGCATAAACCCAGATGAGAATTCAATACCAAATTAATTTTAACTTTTGAAGAAAAAACAGTCAACTTACACGGAACAGTGAAAACTTTGTTTATTGAGTCTATTAGCTACCAGAGGTTGTAAAAACTCCTGGAAAGCCTTACGTGCAAAGCTTTTAATTGGACATCGCTGCAATATAGCATCTCTAAATGCATCCTGAGAAGAACCACAAATTGCACAAATCAATCCTTAGAACACAAATCTCGGCTAAATCCTTGAGAAGGACACAAATCTAGGGTTTCTGCGCGAGAGGTTGAAGGTGGGTATGGAGAAGAGATAGAGGGTTAACGTGATCTATGTTTTTACGAAGAGAGACGGAGAGAGATTGATGAAATCACAAAACAAAAACAAAATTGGGTGACTCCTCGACCAGGTCTCGATCTGGTTTGCGATTTTAATTGTCCTCTAAACCGGAAACAATTAATCCTGCGAATTTGGTTTACTTCATTTCGATTAGACCAATAATTATTTGGGTTTTATAAATAGTTAGGTACTTTTAGTTGGGTTCGTTTTGGTTTTTGCCTTTTTAGTTATAATCTTGGTCAAATGTGTGGGATATATTAATGATATATAAGTAATTACCATAGAAACAAAGTAATTTAGAACCCAGAAAAAAGTTTTGTACAATCAAAACAAAAAAACAATACTACCTGTACCAACATATAATTTAATCATACAAAAGATTTAAAATACAAAACAAATTTAAACAATAAGTTAACTATTCGAAACAAATCAAACAATATACTATCGCATAATTTATTGATTTTTATTAATTAAAAAAAAAATATTTTAATTCATCAAAATCAAACAAAATTAAAATTTCAAATTTAATTAAATCAATAACAATGTGCCTACTACATCTAAAATATTTAGCTTTTTCAATTGTACAAGTATATATTATATTCCAATTAAAAATAGATTAATCACACAAATCAAATTAAAAATATTGAAATTAAAATTTTCATACATCTAAAATTTACATTTTTAAATAAATATCTAACCCACAAATCTGCAGGATATATCCTAGAATTTCAAACTTCTATTTTATTGTTATTTTAAACAGAGTCTTAACGTAAATGTTTTGAATTAATATTGTTTGTTAGTAGTCAAAATAATTAAAAACATCTTTAAAGTCTAAAAGGAAAATTTAAAATATTTTTTAATAGAACTAATTATTCTAATTTAAAAGAGTTTATCAAATATATTTTCATTTCATCATTAGATATTAATATATTATACAAATAATATAATTAACCAATAGTCTATATTCTTTTAAAACTTAAAAGTATTGTATTTGATTTATAAATCAATCAAACTTTGATAATATAAATTTTTAATTCCAACAATCAATTAAATTAAACAACAAACATACTCTACCATAATTTTTTTTAAAACTAAACCTTCTAATAAATATAAATTAAAAAAATTAAAGAATATATAAATTCATACAATCCCAAAACATTTTAAAAATACATAACCCTGCATAAAGCGAACTAAATCATACATAACATCATCTTAATTAAAGATAACACATAGTACATGAAAATATATAAAATCTCCGAAAATCAAATATAAATGAAACATGAAATCCACACTCATGTGCATTTATGCGGACTGTATAGATATATTATACAAATTATTTCCATCTAACTTTTATATTATGAAAATCTAATTTAAATGAAACATGAAACCTGCACTCATGTGTTTTTTTTCGGGTTGTATAGAACTATAGATATATTATAGAAATTATTTACATCTATCTTTCATAGTTATTGAATACTTTTATATTTTATTAAAATTTAAAAACGATATAGGATAAATTAAAATTAGTTATATTTAATGAGTTTAAAATATAGAAAGTAAAAACAAAAAATTTAAAATTTATTGCAATATATGATACATGTATACCAAAGTAAAATATGATGGAGTTTTATATTATAAATAAAAAAATATGATAAATATATACTAAAATAATACATCATATACAAAAATTTTATTTGTCTTGCAAATCAAAATTGAGGATCATAATAGAATGTAATGAGAAGATACTGACAAGATGAAATTTGATTTAAACCTAATTAACTCAAATGTAGCTGTATCTATGGGTTGTATAGATACATTATACAAAACAAAAAATATAGTAAATCTCATATATAAATCTATTTCTATATGAAATCAAAATTCGAGATCAGAAATAGAATGTAATGGGATAAATTTGCCGAGATAAAATTTTTGATAAAAAATAAATTTGTTCATTAACCTAACTAACTCAAATATAGCAAATATTTTCGGGTTGAATCAATAATATATAAATGAAAACAAATTAGAAAATACTAACACAACTTCATGGTATGTTAAAATTTATTATGTATGCCAAAAATAAAACTTAGTGGTTTTTATATCATTAACCGAAATACAATACATCTATAGCAAAATAAACATCTCATACAAAATTTTATTTCTATAGAAAATCAAAATTTGAGACAGAAGTAATGTAATAGGCTTATTTTAACGAGATAAAAGCTTGATAAAAAAATACTTAATCTCTATTCATAAACCTGTAACTAAAAAATATATCAAAATTTCCAGGTTGCATAGATGCATTATACAAATCATTTACATCCATCAACTATGTTTGTTGAATTTTTTAAATTTTTACATAACTTCTAATTTTCTAACAACAGCTAACAATAATTTGAATTTTATATTTTGTTTTATATAATCAAATTATCAATATATGTTTTTCTTACAAATTATAAATCTATCCGATTTTAAATCACATTCTCAACTATAACAAAATATAATCGACAAACGATACAATAATTATAAATACAAAACTACTAATTTAAAACAAATAACACGCACAAGCGAAACCTAAATACCATTCACAAATAATACAACGTTCTCATTCCAACAAATAATTAAATCATACAACAAACATATTCAACCAATATATTGTAATAATATAGAAAAAACTAAACTTTAAATAAAACTTAAATTTAATAAATTTCAAAAATATTATCCCGCACGTAGAGCGGGCTAAATCCTAGTTTATTAATAAAACCCCTCACGTTTATGTTCGTTAATGTCAGTCCCTCTCCGTCTACAAGGATGTTAAAACACAACGGAACCCTGTTAAATCTAAACGCTGCGTTTTGTATAAATGGAGAACGACATGTTTTTCTTCTACTAAAACAACATGACTTGTGAACAAAACTGCATGATGTTTAAAAACCTCAATCAAAATCCTCAAATTCATCGAAGATCCTAGAACCCACAAAGCAAAACTCAAATCGATGAACCCAAACTTCTGAAAGTGATATTCTCTGAAATTTCAGTAGTTTCGATGTCGATTCGGTGAGATTGAGAGTGATTTCTTGAATCCATAACTTCAATTTCGAGAGAAAATCTAAGGAATTGGAAGAACACCTTTAAAAGTTTTGAAATCTAAGGAGCTTGCAAGATGATTAGGTAATTGTGTATCATGATCTCTTACTCCTTATCTTTCAATTTCAGTAGTTGTGATTTCGTTTATCGTTGCTTTTTTGGTTTTGTTTCTTGACCAATAAATCGACGAGTGATAAGCACATATGGTTTCTATACAGGACAACTTTCTTCCGATTACATGTGGGAGGATATTGGGCAGCAGATGGTTCATATAATGGTGGTGAGAGCAGAAGTTGTAGGGTTGATTATTAAGAGCCGAGTTTAGCAATGTTGGTGAATATGGTTTCTGGCGCTGGTTTTGCCGAAAATATGAGTAAGTTTTCTTACTTCCCATATGGCGTCGTAGGTCAGAATCGTATGGACTTGGATGGTGATAGGGATGTTGCAGACATGATAACTTCTTCACTTGAGTTGGATAGCTTGAATTTATATTGTGTTAGGGCTGATGATCCTTATCTAGATGATGTTCTTATTGGAGAAGTGGAAGAAGATGAGGAACCTGAGAATGATGGTGACCTTCCTAACTTTTATCGTGATGATTATGTTGAGAGTGATGCTGCAATAGAGTTTTATGTAGGCCAAGAGTTTGTTTCAAAAGAGAAATGTAAGGAGAGAATAAAGAAGTATGCTGTAAAAGAGAAGGTGAATATAAAATTGAGAGATCCGAAAGAAAGAAAGTAGCAGAAGTTTGTGTTCAGGATTCTTGCAAGTGGAGGATATATGCATCAATAAACAGTCGGTCAGAGAGTATGGTTATCAGATCTTACAATGGAACCCACAATTGTTATCCTATAGGTGTTGTGGAACTCTACAGTACACCTAAGATTGCTGTGGATTTTTTGAATGAGTTTAGGGGTAATCCAAAGTTGTCGGCTGACCAAATAATGCAGAGGTTGTGTTTAAATGGTCTTCGGGTTACTAAAACAAAATGTCAGAGTGCAAGACAGATTATGATACACATCATCAATGATGAGTATACTGAGCAGTTTACAAGAATGTTTGATTATATGCACGAGCTAAAGGAAACTAATCCGGGTTCAACAGTTATTTTAGGTACAAAAGATAGAGTTTTGAGAAGTTCTACACTTGCTTTGAAGCTCAAAAAACAGGATGGAAGAGTGCATGTCGACGTGTTATTCATTTAGATGGAACCTTTCTAAAAGGACGCATGAAAGGACAATTGTTGACTGCTGTGGGAAGGGATCCTAATAATCAAATGTATGTCATAGCATGGGAAATTGTTCCAGTGGAGAACAAAGTCTATTGGGAGTGGTTCATGGAATTATTGCAAGGAGACGTAGACTTGCATCTTGGTAATGGTCTTGTGATATCTTCAGATCAACATAAGGGACTGATATATGCAATAAAGACTGTCCTGCATTACACCGAGCATAGAATGCGTGCCAGACACATTTTCGCTAACTTGCAGAAAAAGTACAAGCAGATGGGACCTTTGCATGAGTTATTTTGGCAGTGTGCAAGAGCTTATAATAAATCAGTATTTAACCGATTGCTTGAGAAGATGAAGAACATCAAACTTGAAGCGTATGAGGAAGTGAAGAGAAGTGTTGGTTCTAACTGGTCTAGGTATGAAATTCGATTTTATTTGTCTCTGATTTTAAATGTTATTTGTCTTTGGTTCAAACTTGAAGCTTATTAATTTTTTTGCATTGCAGGGCATTTTTCAGTGATGTTACAAAGTCAGCTTCAGTAGAAAACAACATCAGTGAGTCATATAATGCTGTCTTGAAAGAGGCTCGGAAAAAACCAATAGTTGCATTACTAGAGGACATAAGGCGACATATTATGGCTAGTAACAAGGTCAAGCTCAAGGAAATGGAGAATGTATCAAGCCTGATCACACCTAAGGCGTTGGCAATTATAGAGAAGCGGAAAAAGAGTTTGAAGTGGTGTCATCCATTTTCAAATGGAAGAGGTGTCTATGAGGTAGATCATGGAAAACATAAGTTTGTGGTTCATGTTCGAAATCAGTTTTCTTGC